ATCATGTGATGTTTGGCGGGTACTTCATACCCAAAGCAACATGCTACACCTAGTTGGTCAAAGTCAAAGACATAACTTTACATAACATAACAAGTGATAGCCGAGTTCACAGATCTGATCGTCCCCATGGATTGCACCTATGAGATTTTTTACAAGATAGGCTCTGGCACACTTTCCTATAATTTCTCATCATAACAGTTCAATAGTTTAAGTTAAGTTTGTTTTTGAAAAGTCTCTTATGCTCTGAAGCCTCATGTTTGTTTATTTGCTGCTCAAGAAAAATTCCATATTATCAATACAACAGCTGTGTTGCTTAAATGGTAATGTAACCATACCTAATGTTAACAACTACCTTAATAATTATTAATAATAAGCAGTCATTAGGAGTTAATCAAGGCAAAATTCATAGTTAGTTAATAGTGAGAACTGGACCCTAATCTAACATGTGCCCAAACTGTTGAACCATTAGTGAACATTCAGTAAAGAATCAGATTCATTTGTCAACAAGTATCGCTCTTTTCATAGATGCCAGCAATATTACAGAAACTAAAGTCCAAAAATTGAGACAAACCATCTCTAAAGTATTCTGCCCTGAAACATCATGATGGCATTATAATCTGGAGCCTTAAACGTAGCTTTTGTGAGAGTAATTGGACTGCCTTTCTCCTTCAGAGTTCAGAAACAGCCCAACAAAGAAGAAGGATTACGTCTAACAGTTTTTTAAAGTTGCCCCTTTACCTTCATGGATTGCTCAGGTCATAAAACAAATATAAAGCTTGACATTTAGACTCAGCAAAGAAAGGACATAATATCTCACTACTCAGAAATGGAAAATTGCAGAAGCAGTGGGAGGTCTTCCAATGATGAGGTTAGACTCCAAAAGTGCAGTCTACCTGAAATGGTTGCCATGACAATCAGGCATGACCAAAAAAAAAATCATGATTGTGTTCAATGGGCAAACTGGGATAATGTCAGTAGCCATTTTAAAGTATTTCATAGAAAATGAATGTACTCATGTGAAATAAGATGCATTACTATCTGAGTCATTCAAACATTTGGTACCCTTCAGGAGCATCCAGCCAACTTCCAGCTAAATGTGCATGAATTCTTCACTCTCAGACATTGCAAATAACAATGTCTTCCTTTCAAGATACTCCTGTGAAAATCAAATAACCCTACTATTCATGAGCAAAGACTTTCCCCGAGTAGGATGCCATTAAAAATAAACGAGGAAGGTTGTTTGTGCCCCAGACATAAAATTTACTGAAGATGTACAATCTGTCTAACATTAAAGAGTAACTAAACCCTAAACCAACTTTTTTTTAGTTAATGATCTGTAAGAATGGATCTTTATTAATACCAGTCATTGATTTGAGTAACTTTTTAGACATTTGTGTATAAAGTGTTTTATTTCTACGGTAGAAACATGACGTCACAATATGTCGACCTTCAAAGGGGGTGCCCGTGGTTATGTAGATATAAATGTCTCACTCAAGGGTAATAAAAACATTACGTATTATTATTAAGTAAGTTCTTTATACACCACTGTAAACATAGTTATGGATGTCATATTGCATTTCTGTTAATAGATGATCAAAATTATTACACATGATTGGACCTTTAATACTAAGTGTGGATTTTTCTACAATATTCCTTATTCCTTAATATTCAATATTCCTTCATAAAATAGGGCATCAGGTCAGTCTACCGCAGTATACGCCTTATTCACGGCAGCACCATCTTTGATTTTTAATGAGAATGAAAGCGAGGCTGTGAGGGATAGACTTGCATCTCTTCAGCGGGCTGTATTGTTATTTAATGTGTTTTCGGATTGTTCTGCTCATGAAACACTGGAAAAATATCTTTCTAAGAAATGTCAGTTGACAAAAAACTCCCGACAATGTAAGCTGTGGAAAATTGTAAGTAATCTAGCCGCTTTATTCAGCTTTTTACAACGGATGCCATTGGAAACACGGTAAGTCTATCCCTCACAGCCTCACTTTCATACCTGTCATGGCGCTGCCCTAAATAAGGTCTATTTCCTCTCAATCAGTAGAAAATGTGCTTAACACTCATTCATAAATGAAAAAATAAAATATCGTTATATACTAGTGAAATCAAATGGTATATATTAGAAAAAAAACGTGATATCGATTTTTTTTTCTTTTCTTTTTTTTTTTTCATACAGCCCAGCACTATGCGGGACATTTCACTGTGGATTCTTTGGTAAATCAGTCGCAATTTTGGCACAGGCTTTGCAAACAGACTTTGAAATGAATGTCATGATAAATCTACCTCACACCCCAAACCACCAGGCTTCTAAAACATCTGATTCTGTGAGCAATAGCATGCAGACTAAACGGCTTGAATGACGTTAAGCAGCCATAACCTGCAGGTATTATAAACATTCAAAAATGTTACAATGTCCCTTGAGCACTAATTACTTTTAGTTTATTCATTTTTTAGGAAGCACACAAAACATGCACACTAACTAATATCTGTTCAATTATAAAAGTATTATTGAAGATCCTCAGTATTCCCTCAGAACTTTACAGTCTGTTGAAATGCAATCTGGTTCCTTTCAACTGCAACGGCAATGTCTTTCAATAATATCAGTTACCATCATATCACAATGATTTGCTAAATATCCAACAGTTTATCTTTCCAATAAACTTTTTTTAAAGTTAATTTCATTGCACAAGCCAAATGCTGAGCTGTCATCAGATGAATGGTAATCTCATTTGTGACTTTAATTTATTTTTGTTATTTATTTTTCTGCATTACTTTTAAAAAACTTGAGTGTATTTTTGGTGTGGATGATACAGGATTTTCAATTTTCAAAGAGTGTTATTATTGATTTCAATTTAAAAACGTAACTGGTAGTGTAAAATAGGCACATAATACCTTGACATCGAAGGCACCTACAGTAAATTAAATCATAATTGTATGATGTTGGGATTATCATGTTGGGATATCAGCAAATATTGTATCGCTGGCTAAGAGAACTGATGTCAGATTGTATCATGAAGAAACATCCGATTTACACACCCCTAGTACACTGAACTCATTCTTGATATTTAAAGATTTTGCATTCCATTGCCTTGTACAGTTTGTGAAAACATATGAATGATTTTAATTAGTATTTTGAATAAATATATTCAGGGGTGTTTCCTCAGAGGAGGCAAGGGATGCACTAGCCCCTTTTACACAAAGTCTTTACAAGAAAAAAATAAAATAAATAAATAACGACTTTATTCAACAATTTGTTCTCTCCGGTGTCAGATATCCTATGCTATTTGCTAGTAAACAGTAAAGCGCTTCCAGCGACTACCCCAGAATGCCGGCTAATTGGCCGACGCGGTTCATGGGAGCACCACGACACATGCGTGTGATATTGATGCAATATGCGTGTGATATTGATGCAACACACGTGTGATATTGATGGTATTCTGATGTAGACCCCAGAAGCACTGTACTGCGTGAATAGTGTAGGAGATCTGACACAGAAGTGAAGAAACTGTTGAATAGAGTATTTTTTTTTTTACATATTTTGTGTGTATTTGACAGTTTGTGTTTAAGGGCAATAAGCAGTGGCAGCAAAAAAAAGAAAAAAACTTAGTACTGAGAAGCGACTTTATGTGTGCATAGTTTGGCTGAGCACAAAATCTGCGCAAAAATGTAAAATTATGGCTAATACGCACAATCTGACGCCGAATTCAATCTCTCTCTCTCTCTCTCTCTCTGTATATACAGTATATATATATATATATATATATATAAACATTCACTGACCAAAAAGCTTAATACAGATGGGAAAACGTGTTTCTAAAAGATTTGAGGAATTTAATCGATAATAATAATTTGATATAAAAAAAATATTCATGGAAACAAAAACAAAAAAACACTGCAGAGTTTTATGACATCCCTAGAAGCAAATGGCTGCAAAATATGCATGTCATGAGTCATGCATCACATGACGTGAGCCCAGACTTACGGGATAATGGGGACCATCTAGAGGCTCAAGGCCTGCAGATGGTCCCTGGTGAACCCTGAGTATCTGGGCTGGTCACCTTCCTGTGACGTAAAAGAGTCATAATTCATCTCAGTCTGTCACACTACAGTCTGTACAAAACGATAACAGTATTGCTAAAAATAGATATACATGCAAAGTCTGACACACCTACACCTAGATGAGCTCTTGCGCTGTGCAAAGTCCTTCAAAAGCCCAGAGGAAAATAAGTATTTTTACAATAGCACTACTATGCAGACTGAAAGACAATGATAATGTGCTCTGAGAAAAATACATTCAGAAATATAATGTTTATGGGGTTGTGGACCTTTTTTCCAAGTCAGATCACAATTCATCCCAACACACCTCAAAAACTTGTTTTTCCAGCATTGCGTGGCGAGCATGGCAGCAACTGACAGTATCCCTTACATGATTCAGCATATATCTGACCACTTTGATTTGCCATAAAGAAACAAACTGCTTAATGAATGATTATCTCTCAACTACATATCTCAGAACAGCATTAAATTAAATCTAGAACATGAAAGTCTCTGTAATGTAACTTACTAGTGATGCAGTGAAGTTTCAGCCAACCCTTTCAAAACAAACCAGTTAGCCAGTCATGCTACATTAGTAGCTAAACTTGCTGCGTTTGTGGATAACTACTAACTTATCCATCTGGGAAACAATTATTACATACACGCAAGACATTTCAAACGTATAAATATTCTACACTAACATATGATATTGGGGAAATTAAAATAAACATCAGCAGATGTTAACTTAACAAAGAACCGAAGCTAACTTCCACAACACAGACAGACAAATTAAATACATGTCGAACTACTGCATGTAAATATATAGAGAGAGTAATTTAAAACCATTGTAATCGAATTTCCAAGGAAAACCTGAAAAATGACAAGATTAATAAACCATTGAGAAGGGAGGGAGGGCTAACAAACAAAACAAAGCGATATTTTTATAGGCTTACAGTAATAAGCGACGACCGGGTCTCTTTTTTCGAGTTCCTGTGCTGTTCTTAAATGGTGCTGGATCGCTTTCAGCTGGGTTGGGAGAGCCATCCTGAAGAGAAGTCGCTGTTACTAACTTCTACAAGATCCAAAAAATGGCTAAAAACAAAGATGACAAGCGCTCGCGAATGAGTTACTTACTTCCGCGTCTTCACGTGAACGCGCAACCACGCCTTTACTGACCTCCATAGGCGTGGAGGAGCACATGACCCACACGAATCTGCGATTATTTTCATTCGGCATTAAAAAGAGTAAATATATATTGACTTCAATACAGATAAATCTGTAAAAGTTGTATTTAGTAATCATATACTGTATATGAAGGTGTCATTTGTAATTTATTTGTCATATTATATTATTTGTTTTAATTAATTAGGCGAAAGGCTATTGCACAAACAAAAAGCCCAAATGGTTTGCCTTACTGTTTTTGTTCTTTGTTTTTATGGTTGGGCTATATATTTACATTAAAGGAGTAGTTCACTTAAAAAAAAAAAAACTAGAAAAGGACAATTTCAGTGTAAACTGCAAACTGTTCAAAGGGCTTTAAACGATTTCAGACGATGAATACGGCTCACCAAGCGAAACGATCGCTCATTTAAAAAAAAAAAAAAAATCAAAGTTTGTTTTATATGCACGGCGGTGAAGGTGTAAGGATGCTGGATGCTGTGTGCTCCAATGCAATACCGAGAATTTATGTTGAATTTTATACTCTATGGTTATACTAAAGAAACGTTAGTCACAAAAACAGATAAAACAGACACCCCTCGTTGTGTTTATGCTTCTTTTTAAAATTATATTAAATAAACATAACTATATATAAAATTGCATCTAAACTTATGTACGTTTCGTTTCAAAGACGGAAGGACAGTAAATTTTGAAGACTCTGCCATAATCCCGTTTTCCTCCGCTTTAATCTCCACAACCGGAAATGGACGAGCATCCTTGCGTCAAATGCGGAAATGCGTGCATGTAGCCCACAATTACTGCCGAGGTTAATGCTAATGTAAAATAAAATACTTGAAGAGCCCCACGTAAAGTTTTAGTTATTCAATAGATTCAGCTTTAATCGTATTCCCCTTCTAGTATGTGTAAATATAGCCGATATGGTGGTGTACACAAAAAGAGTGACACAACTATTTTAAACATTTTTACTTGATTGAATATTCACAAACATTACGAAAGCATTGTATCAGAAAGAGTTCCTTGGATTCACAAGCAGTTACGTTTATTCAGACTATGAGTTACTTAACACTAATTATGGCAGTCATAATATATGCACCAATTATGTTACCTACTGTATATGAAGATTTTTATGCATAATCATAAATCCCATAGACATTGGTAATCAAAAAAAAAACTGTATAGATGATCAATTCTCTAAACATAATACAAAAGCTATTACTACAACAGCTATGAAGTTGAAACAGTGGGAAGGCAACTGCGAAAATATGTGAAGACCAAACCTGCTGTAAGATGTTCCTGTAATGAATAAATCATATCCTTATAATAAACTGCTACCTGCTGACACAAAATAAGAGTTCACAGTATGCCATGTTGTACCTGAGATGAAACACTTAGCTGAGAATAATAACAAAAAGTTGGATGGATGCCTGATGAAAATGTAGATACAAACACTACAAACACACAAGATAATAATGAAATGGACTATATGGAAATCAACACCATGATAGGATATATAGGCTATATCAATGATCCCATCACCATATAGATAGGATCACTGATATACTATCCATGTGCATAATCGTAACTAAGTATGCAGTACCACTGACCAATCAATAATGTTTTTAAAAATGTATGCTATTGCATGCACTTATTCTTCCTTATTCACTTTTAAGAATTAATCATTGTTGAAATTTAAATCAAAGAATACTTGTCAAAATAGTACTCGCAATTTGTGTAGTAATTCAATATAATGTAGAAATCGAAATAATCTTGAGGAGAGAATGACTAAATACTTGTCTTTAAATACTCTAAATATTTTGGGTTTAGATTAGCTTACATAAGTCAATAATTAAAAAAATTATCTTTAAGTTTCTCCTGCAAGAGAGGTGGCTTATTTAGGTTTAGAATAAGTTGGCTTTATAACTAAAAATATCAATGAGTCCCTTGTCATTAATTATTAATAAATTGTCAAGTTAAAAACACCAGAAAGTCTAGAGGTATGTGGGTTTATGTCTTGTCTGTCAATCGGAGACCCACAGAAGACATAACACTGTTGAAGCCAACTTTCTAAATCCTCAAGACACTGGCTGGTTTAAAAAGCCAATTCTTCGGAACCGAATCTCAAAAATCTCAGCAATACAGAGGAGGATGGTGATGATTGTAAAGGTGTACATTGCACTGAGGAAGATGGTCTTCTCAAAGTGTTCAGGGACCATACACTTTGAGATGTTGAAGATCTTCGCAAGACCACTAGCATCACACATGTAGATAGGAGCAACCAGGAACCCAAAGAGGTGGCTCTGAAGCCAAAATGCTAACACTTCCAGAATTATTCTCAGCAGGACAGAGATGATGTAGAAGATTGTGGACATCGGTCGCTGAAGGATCTCCTCCTGATCTATATTTTTACAGGCAGCATAAAGATGAAACACAGCTCCAGGTACCAAGACAGAGACTAGCTGTAACGCCCAGAATACCTACAAACAGATACAAAAAAAAACATTTTATGTTACTAATTCTGTGTCTTTGAATTATTATGAAACGGACATTGCGATAGTCTTTTCTATTGTGACATATATCTGAGTGAAGCTGCTTCTCGGACAAGAAAAATGTGTGTGTGTGTGTGTGGGGCGGGGGGGAGGTGTAGTTTTGGTGTAAACTATTCAAGTTTCCACTAAAAAATGTACAGTGATTATAGGCCATACAATCAGCTTCTCATATTATTCACTGAATTATTCACAGTTGTACATAGGTTTTGATTATCTGCTTGATTATTGTTAAGATATAGTAGAATAGAGTTAGTGGTAAACTTTTTTACTTTTTTTTAAAGATAACTATATTAGCGCGTGCTTGTTTGTCACTTTGAAGGCTCGTTCTTAAAGCGATTCCAACGATATTGTGAACCTTATAGTTATTGTCCTTGGTGTGAACCGTCCTGGTTCCAAATCTTACAGTTACATGGCTTAATAGAATTTCTCTTTCCTATTACTTCCATACATCCATGTTCACTTTTGGCTGTCATTTCATGTATTTTCATTAAATTACAATTCGAGATTATTAAATTCATATACTTTCATGCACTTTTACCTGTGGTGTTATAGGCCTAAACTGGTTGTAACAGTAAAGGTTTAATTCCCTTTTGTCTGGATCACAGCTGAAGTGGAGGGCCTCATTGCCATAGACTGCGAATCCAAGGACTCCGAGGAAGAACGTACGCACTGAGCCGAAAAACAGCGTGTGGAACTGGCCTATCACCGTCGGAGGCCTGAGCTGAAACATGCAATGCAGAGATCTTAACATGCATTCACTGAAACCATTTCCAAACACAAAATATCTCTAATTTTGCATTCAAGGTCAAACTTTAGACTGCATACTTACACATCCTTCATAAAAGTTTTTGATGTAGTTTAATGACATAATTTGGCTTCACAGCTCTGCATCATTCTATGGTTGCTTGTCACCATCATTGCCAGTCTTCTGGCCTCGGGCAAAGGCAGATAGCAATTCTGAACCTCAAAACGACCTTTTGCTTTAGAAACCCCTTTGTCAATGCAGTCTCTTTTATCCGAAGTGCGATTTACTCACTCAGTGCAAAAAAAAAAAAAAACATACAAAAACAAAACAAAACAAGGAAAATAACAAAGGCCACGGGACATGTGGTCAGCTCATGGGCTAATCCCTATTCAACCATGTCAGCGAAAAAAAACTCTTGCTCTTGCATCTCACAATAGAGCAGAGCAAACATGACAATTGCAACAAAATGCATTTGTATCGCTGGGCAAATCACATCATGGAAAACAACAATTAACGGGTTAACAAATATGAATAATTTCAGAGAAGTATTTAAACAGGCAATTGAATTCAAGCCAACAGAGCCTTTTGTAAAACAATTTGAAAACTGTTTTTGTAGTGATATCCTGGAATTTTGAGATCCTTATAAGGGTTTCCAGACACCTCTAACTTATATTTATCTAAATAGCTGTTTAAATAAGACCTGTTTTCCTTTATAAAGTACATATATAAGCTACTACATTATCTATCTCTGATAACAGGCCTACTGAAAGTTGCTCTAGAATTTCCACTAGTGTTTCTTCAACAAAATAGCACGATAAACGTTCACACGGTAAGAAACGTGTTAAATCGTCTATTAAAAGTCCACACACCAACCGTAATCCAGGCGGAGTGTTGTTCATCCCCCTTCTTAATCAGAACCGAGGTCCTGCTCTCATGTCACTGCGTCCCGAGGGAAAGAAGGACCTGCTGGAAAAGCAGCATGTTGGGGGCGCCTTTCTGACGGCAAGCTTTTTCGAGTCATAAACCAAAGAGCAAACAGTTAACGTTAGACAAGCCATCAAAGAAACCTAGCAAAGAATAGATCATTATGGCCACAGAGATGCTAATTACCGAAATAAGAGTACTGGGGTCTGGCGGTCATACGGTCATTGGGCACGTGGTGCACACGCAAGCATAGCTGTCAATCAAAGTGATGCTTCATATATGACCGTGCTTGATTGTTTGTTTGCTCATGTAGCTCGATAGCACGATGAAGGAGGACTCCATGACATACGTTTATTTTATTGGTATGTTGCCGTTCAATAGGCTAGATCTTTGTGATGGGTTTGACTATTCACATCGTTTTATGCATTATAGAATAAAAAGTCATTGAAATAAAAACGCATTTTCTCTCCACATCAAACCCATTCAATAAATAAAATGTAATTTGAGAAAAACCTTGAATAGCCTACATATCTCATTTAAAAAGTTTTCAATTTCTGAATGAAGTCATTTTCCATCTCTAAAAAAAAAGTCTCATTAAAAGGAATCTTAAATCCTTGAAAAGGTTAGCATAAAGATGTTTTTCGTTAAAAATGACAGATATGTTTCAGTGCTGAGTTTAAATAATGGTGAAGGACAGTCGTATAAGGTCTGTTAATTTACTGCAGAAAATAGCTCAATGCATTCTTCTGTAGCTAATTAATTTTGTCTCTATATTACCATTGTTGCATCAAGAGCGTCATTAAAGCCAGCAGATGTCACTAACTCAACATGACATCACCACATGCAACCCGAATGAGTGGCGAATTATATTAATTTAGCCTATTACCAGAGGCCACATTTACATCAGGAAACATCTGTGTTTTGGTAAACACACACAAACAGGTTTAATGGGCTCTTTCCATAGACATATAATGATTTTTATATCAAACAGTACTATCCCCTTACACTAACTGTACCCCTAAACCACAGAAAACCTTCTGCATTTTTACATTTTCAAAATACATTACTTAATTTATGATTTATAAGCTGTTTTAGTGGGGACCAAAAATGTTTGTGAGGACATTTTGTCCCCGTGATGTGTGAAATTATCAAGCCACACACACACAAACACAGGCACACATTTAAAATAACCAATCCATGAGATCAGGCTGAAATAAAACACATATAAGAAATTTTGTTCTCAGGGTATGAGTCAAGGTGAGAACCAAGTCAAGAAGATGAACTAGAGACATAGTCAGGCAGTGACTTGCGCTTTTCATTCATAGTTTGAAACTCAATCAGGTATCCCTTCAAGGGATTCGCTTGGTTGATCTTTAAGCAGAGCAGAACCAGTAAGAGTTGTCAAAACACTTCTGTAAAAGCCTTTTACAGTTTTTCTCAGTCGCTTTGGTACATTTCTTAGATCATAATTGAAATTCTCAAATCTACCTGTTCAATCTTCACATCATTGTGTCAGTTGTGCACATAAAAAAAAAACAGTTTCTCATTTCTTTGAACAAGTTGCAAATGCTACATCCATGCAAATGATTATGTGCAATTATCTTCTGTTTCCTTATCAATTGCTTATGTCACGTTGATTAAAATGTACTATAATGGGTCTATGTTGAACAGTCACACCCACCACAACTTTTAGGCGAGCAAGTCTTTGCATGCAAAATGTTGTCGTAATATAGCATTTTCTATACATTTCCATTAGACTTTTTTTCTAAATCTGTCCTGTTCACGTTTCTACTTTTGTTTTTTGTTTTTCGTTGTGCTATATGCAGTGCTGTCTTTTCCTTTCTGTATCGCAATTGCATGGTCTGTCAACAAATAACTGTACAAACAGCAAAAGCATAAATGTGAATCTTTTGCAATCAAACTCCCCCACACACTAAGGTGTAACCTACAATTTACAATAATTGTCCTCAAAACTTTAGCCACAGCAGTTTACATCAGAACATCCCTCCAGTGTAAACTGTTGACAACATGACTGAGCAATTTGACTGTCTTATCCGTACACAATGACACAAGGACATTCTGATGGCACTGACATATTCATTGACATAGATGTTTATGTTTGAGAGAGATGAACTAAGTATTTTAAGCAAGAGACTGGCTTTTGCAGAAAATCTGTGGTGTTTTTTGCTATTTGTTTGAGAAAAGCACTTACTGTTTTGGAAATGTCGAGGATGATTGAGAAATACAATAGATTGAGAAAAACTGTAAAATGGCTTCTGAGGGTTAAAAGCCTCTCTATCCAGCATTATGATGAAAGAACAGGTTGTGCAGACCTCGACACTCTTAAAAATAAATGTTTTTATTGGCATCAATAGTTCCACAAAGAACCTTTAACATCTATGGAACCTTACATTCTACTCAAGAATCTTTATATCGGAAAAAGGGTTCTTTATATTATTGAAATGTTCTTCTCGCTGGTCACTATGAGGGTCCTTTGGGGTTCTTCAATGACAGTGAATACAAGACCATGATAGATTGGTTCTGAAGCCAAGGCAATTCTAATTTCAAGATCTGTCTGGAAGAACCTTTGTCATCAGAACTTAATGCATAAATGTTTGATGTGCCTGTTTATTTTATTCCTATAAGGATGAGAAAGCAAACCTAACATGAAGCTTAGAATAAAAACATCTCTTAAGGCTATGTTATTCATGGTTTCAATCTCCAGTGACATTGGACACAAGCAAATAAAGTCTTACATTTTTGTAAAGGAGTGGAGAACTTTCCTCTCTCTCTCTATCTCTCTCTATCTCTCTCTCTCTCTCTCTCTTTCAAATACCTGTTTTTCTAGTTGTCCAGACCCAGTTGGTTTTCTTATTACGTATTTATTGCCATTCTTCCTTCGGTAAATCCCCCCTGCGAGTCACAGAAAGAGCATGAAAGAGCTCCAGGCTAACTCCGATAAGGGGGCGCGCGGACAAAAGCTGCACCTGACGAGTCCAGAAAGCACAATTCCAGTTTGCTCTACTGACGAGAAGTCCAACGTCGTTCTTTCATAAATGGAGATTCAGGGGTTTTAGATTATTTATTTTGGTTTGTTTCAGTGTGGAAGATGGGGAATTAACACATTTAGATGACAGACAGACAGACAGACAGACAGACAGACAGACAGACAGACAGAAAGATAGATAGATAGATAGATAGATAGATAGATAGATAGATAGATAGATAGATAGATAGATAGATAGATAGATAGATAGATAGATAGATAGATAGATAGATAGATAGATAGATAGAACAAAACTGTTTGCTGCTCTCTGCAATGCTGTTCTTATGGCAAGCCGATTTAACATGTATTCCTTTAATATGCTACTGTACATATAGTTTCGTTCCAGTTGTTTTCTAATGGAACCAATAAATTAATAGTAAAACCGGAATAGTCACCAGAATCAACTTGAATATACACAGTCAGGAAGTGTGTGACAATTCCAGTTTGCGCTACTGACGAGTAGTCCAACATCGTACTTTCATATATGGGGATTCGGGGTTTTAGTTTATATATTTGGTTTGTTTTAGTGTGGAAGATGGGGAATTAACACGTATGGCAGACAGGCAAACAGACAGACAGACAAATACGATAGCTAGCTAGCTAGCTAGCTAGCTAGCTAGATAGATAGATAGATAGATAGATAGATAGATAGATAGATAGATAGATAGATAGATAGTTAATATCTTATAGATTAACTAAATGAGAAATTGAGAATAATACCAGTCACTATTGGATTTCTTAGTATAAAATAGGTATTAATAGCACCAATACATATAGTTAGTTTAAAGGATTAAATGTTAAGATGGTTTGCCATAGGCTCCCCCTTTACTTGTTCCTGCCTTTCAAAGAAGCCAGTCAACTTTTAGAGACGTGGCTGAAGACATCGCTCATTTCAGCACTAAGTTTTGCGGACAGCACCTCTCTCTCGCTCTCTCTACCAAAACAGGGCAACTTATCACATCCATTTATTGTTTTTAACTCGTTTGCTTTCTAACCACTAAACCGAAATATGGATCACACTTTCTCTGAGGATACCTCAGCCTATGAGAACTTCACAGATGACTGGACATCCGATGGAGGGGAAACGGTGCATTTCATCATTCGCTGCGTTATCCCATCGGTCTACATACTTATCATAACGGTTGGTTTATTGGGCAACATCACTCTTGTGAAAATATTCATCACTACCAGCGCGATGCGAAGTGTCCCAAACATTTTCATCTCCAGCTTGGCCGTGGGAGATCTTTTGCTTTTGGTCACTTGTGTACCAGTGGACGCGTTCAGGTATTTCTATGAAGAATGGATTTTTGGGATTGTGGCTTGTAAGATGATCCCGGTGATCCAGCTCACCTCGGTCGGAGTCTCCGTGTTCACTCTCACGGCACTGAGCGCAGACAGGTAAGGAGGGGAAAAAACCTGAATGAACTGCCACATTCACTACTATGAAAATGAGGACAATGTCTGAAACAACCACTAAAACAAACAAGAGAAATTAGCTATAAACAACGTGTGTGTTTCGTTGTTTTATAGCTCATCCCTCGAGTTTGTAAACAAATAGTTTAACATACATTGCATATAGGCTACTGTATAGAAATACGTATATATGCGGACGTTATATATATATATACACACACACACACACACACACACATACTCTTAGCTTAAGTTGTTTAAAATCCCTCATTAATCACCTGTAGCTGAGAGCAAAATGAATACAAATATACATTGATTTACAGAGGAATTCACCTTGACGCTATATCATGTCCCATTTGGCAAACTGCCTGAAGGGATTCTGTATTACATTTGATTCATGACTCATCAGAGATATATTTCTCAACAACAAAGATGCAGTTCATTTCTCTGACATGTGATGGGGTGCTCAGAGCACAGATTTGGACAGATAATGAAAGATTGATTGGGCAGTTTGTTTTCATTCTGTACACATAAATATTGTTTTGTAGGCTGGAACTCATCTGTACAGTACAGCCCTGACATTATTATCCTGATTTACTCAACACCGCAGTGAATTCTATTATTAAAAAATGCTGCGTTTTCATAACCAAATTGGACTAAGGCAGCTGTAAATAACAGAGACATCATTATTCCCAAAAGAGCATATTTGGGA